TAAATCTCACCTCAAATTCTTTGCCTTCCCTCCTCGGCCTTCCCACCCCAATCCATAAATCTCACCTCAAATTCTTTACCTTAGTTACTTCTGCAAAGACCCTTTTGCAAATGGGGTCCCATCCTGAGGTGCAGGGGGACCTGCTTTCAGGGCTACCCTTCACCCTGCTACGGGCCCCCAGCCTCTGTCCCTGGTCCTCCCCGGCCGCTGCACCTGCTGAGGCTGCTGCACCCGGATGCTCTACAGAGGCCTTGGCCAATCCAGTCTCTGAATTCCCCAGAAGCCCTTCCAGAGACATGTCCGAGAGGCCCCTGGGCCAGCTGAGGTCAGAGGATGGGTCAGCAGGGCCAGTGCATCCCCCTTTGCCCCAGCCACATGCAGTTCCACCTTCATGCTCCATCCGGCTCCTCTCCCCACCCCAAACACCCCAGAGTGAAGAGCAGCCCCAGCCTCAGCCAACCCCAGGGTCGCTTTCAAATAAAGCAGGAGCGAAGTGCTGTCTCCTGTGCTTCTCACGAGACCATGGCACCCACGGGTAGGGGCCGAATCGGGATGTGTGGCAGGCCTGTTCCGTGTCCCTCTGCTGCGTCCACAGCTTCCGGGCTGGGGCCACCTTCCCATTCTGCTCCTGAAGCATCAGGGGAGCCCCCACCTCCCCTTATCTCCATTAAGAAGTAAGAGAAGGCCAGGTGCAGGCAGGGTTAACGCCTGTAACCCCAATACTTTGAAAGGCCAAGGCGGGAGGATCGCTTGAGCCCAGGAATTTGAGACCAGCCTGGGCAACATAGGGAGACTCCCATCTCCACCAAAAAATATGAAAATTAGCTAGGTGTGGTAGCGTGCACCTGTAGTCCCAGCTACTTGGGAGGCTGAGGCGGGAGAATCGCCTGAGCCCTGAGGTCGAGGCTGCAGTGAGCTGTGATCTTGCCATCGCACTCTAGCCTGTGCAACAGAGAGTGGGACCCTGTTTCAAAAAAAAAAAAGAAAGAAAAAGAAAAGGGCTAGGCACAATGGCTCCTGCCTGTAATCCCAGCACTTTGGAAGGCCGAGGTGGGTAGATCGCTTGAGATCAGGAGTTCAAGACCAGCCTGGGAAACATGGCAAAACCCTGTCTCTACCAAAAAATAGGAAAAAATAGCCAGGTGTGATGGCACACACCTGTAGTCCCAGCTCCTCGGGAGGCTGAGGTGGGAGGATCACTTAAGCCCAGGAGGCAGAGGTTACAGTGAGCCAAGATCACACCACTGTACTCCAACCTGGGTAACAGAGTGAGATGCCATCTCAATGCCATCTCAGAGAAAAAAGAAAACAAGACAAGGTGACTCCAGGTGCACAGAGCCCTGCAGGCATCACACCTGCCCTGCTCTTCAGGGAAATTCACAGAACAAATGTGCCGTCGTCACACGAACTGATTGCATTGATGGGTGTGGCCGTGGTGACAAGTGACCGACACCCCAGCAGCCTGCACGCTGAGGCGTCCCTGTAGCTTGGGCTCCGTGTCTGCAGTAGGGTCCTTCGGATCAGCTGCTGCCTGCCTGCCTTGTCTCCTTTCTCCCGTGTGGGGCAGGCAGAGCAGACCCTGAGTGGGACAAGCCCTGAGCAAGGCAGGGAGGAAGGCGGGGGCAGGGCCTGGGGGCTGGCGCACCCTCCGTCCCATCAGCCCTGCCAGGCCTGGTGCTCAGACCTGACCCAGGGTGGGCCTGTGCTGTCCCTGGCAGGGCTGGAGGTGATTGAGACAGTGATGCCACTGGCCCCACTGTCTGAGCCGCTCCCTGCCTCCTCCAAATGACTCTGGAAAGACTGAGCCTCTCCCTGGCGATGGTAAGGGCGGGCTGCGGTGCCCTTGCTCTTGGTCTCCACTGAGCTGAATTCACCAGTAAAAGCCCTTGAAGCAGAGTGATGGCCCCAAGGCACTCGCTTACGAGTTTAACTTCTGGAACATAGCAACGCCGGCTGGGGTCTCCTGGAAGCATCCCTCCAGGCTGTTTGATCAGCAAGGCAGTCAGGTGACCTAAACAGCAGACATGTATCCTCTGCCAGCCCTGGAGGCCAGAATCAGAAGTTGAGGGGTTGGCAGGACTGGCCCTGTCAGGTCACTTTGCGGGAGATTGTCCCACGCCTCTCTCCAGCTTCTGGTGGTGCCGCAATCCCTGGGCTCTGTGGTTGGAGAAACCTCAGCCTCTGCCCCATCTACACTTGGCCTCTTCTCTGTACCTCTCACTGGATTTAGGGCCCACTCTAACCCAGGGTGACCTTATCTTAAATCGTTACATCTGCCGAGACCTATTTCCAAATCAGATCACATGGCGAGATTCTGGGCAGACAGGATTTTTAGGGTCACTATGGAGCTGCCGTCATTAGCTCCTTCATCCTCACGGCAGCCCTGGAGGCAGGTGCCATGCCGCCATCTTGCAGGTGAGGAAGCTGAGGCTTGGGGGTGCCGCGAGCCCTGGGGTGTCTGACAGCAGAGCCCCCGCCAGCACCATCCGCAGGGAAGCCTTGGTTCCAGTCGCCCTGGAGTCTTGAGCACCTCCCAGCTGTGGAACCTGTTTTGTGTGGCAAGGCAGTGAAGCCTCGTCACTGGAACAAAGCAGGCGCTGGATAAGTGCAACAAGATGGTCTCGTTTAGACCAGATGATAGCACATCCCCTGTGCAGGCCCACAGTCCATGGGAGCTGCTGCCATTGTTCATTTGTGTTCAATGAAGCCGGGCACCGTGACTCAGCCTGTAATCCCAGCACTTCAGGACGCCAAGGCAGAAGGATCGCTTGAGCCTAGGAGTTCGAGACCAGCCTGGACAATGTAGTGAGACCCCATCTCTACAAAAAATAAAAATAAAACTAGCTGGGCATGGTGGTGACACACCTGTAATCCCAGCTACTCAGGAGGCTGAGGCAGGAGGATGGCTTGAGTCCAGGAGGTCGAGGCTGCAGTGAGCTGTGATCATCCCACTGCACTCCAGCCTGGGTGACAGAGCGAGACTCAGTCTCAAAAAAAAAAAAAAAAGAAAAGCCAAAGACTTTCGCCTACAGGCAAGTGGGGCCGGTGCTGAGAGGTCCCAGTGAACTCTGTTTTGGATCTGTCTCTTTGAGTCTCAACACCCAGACCTTGCATCTGGGGAGCATGAGCCGGGGCAGGTGGCGTCCTCAGACCCGCAGCCTCGAACCCCCCCCCGGACATGGGCTCCTGACTGTGAGGCCCGTGAGTGCCTGGAGGGCCGGGGTCTGAGGCCTGATATGGCCGCTCTTACCATCAAGAGAGTGATTCCCCAATTCCAGGGGCTAAGCCTCCCCACCCTCAGTTTACTCCACAGTCTCCAGCCACCCCTCCTCCCTTGGTCCCCACACATCCTGCCAGCTGGGCCTACGTCCTGCTCCGTGTCATCTGAGGCTATCAGCATCTACAGCTTCCATGTGGGAAAGGCCCCCCTAATGCAGGCATCACCCCCTGGCCGGCCCTGCCCCAGGCCCCCAGCAGACAGTTGTGTGTCGGGCCCCAGGTGCTTCGCCGGGAGCCCTCACTCCCCGGGCCTGGTCGTTGGTGCTCACCTGGTTCTCACCTGCAGTTCGAGGAGCTCGTCTACCTCTGGATGGAGCGGCAGAAGTCGGGGGGCAACTACAGCCGCCACCGCGCACAGACGGAGAAGCACGTGGTCCTGTGCGTCAGCTCCCTCAAGATCGACCTCCTCATGGACTTCCTGAACGAGTTCTACGCCCACCCCCGGCTCCAGGTGAGGCCCCTGACCACGGCCCAGCAGACGCCTCCCTCCTGGCCCCCAGAGATGCCATCCTCTCCCCAGGACTGCTTGGCAAGTCTCTCAGTCCTCAGCCTCAGTTTACCCCTTCAGTGAGGATGGCAGTCCACACTCAGGTGGGGGGCCCTGCGGCGGCCTCTTTTCCCTCCCGCCAGATGCAAGATCACAGTGAGCCCCAGGGCTCAGAGGTGGTGGCACAAACACAGTCCTGAAGGCAGGGCCGCCCGGGTTTGGCAGGGGCTGGCTCAGAGGGTCTGACCCTCTGCCTGGCCGGCAGGACTATTACGTGGTCATCCTGTGCCCCACGGAGATGGATGTCCAGGTACGCAGAGTCCTGCAGATCCCTCTGTGGTCCCAGCGGGTCATCTACCTCCAGGGCTCTGCGCTCAAAGACCAGGACCTCATGCGAGCCAAGTGAGTGCTGGTGGGCAGAGGGGGCGGCATGGGGGCACCTTCCTGAGACAGGTCGGCTGCTCAGGGCTAGGGCATTGGCCACCACTCTCATGGCCAAGGGTCCTGAGTCGGCCTGCCCAGCGAGCTGATCGGAGCAGGGGGTCCCGAGGGTGGGTGCCAGGAGCTCTTGGCCCAATATGAGTTGGTCCAGCTGGAGGTGGACCGTCTGGGGTGAACCATCCAGAGTGGACCGTCTCGGGTGGACCATTCAGGGTGGAATGTCCAAAGTGGACCATCTCAACATCTTCCTGAGACAGCTCAGCTGCTCAGGGCTGAGTCATTGACCATTGCTCTCATGGCCAATGAGAGCCATTAGAGCATTGTAGACTATCCTCAGGGTGGACCATTTGAAGTGAACCATCCAGGATGGACATCTGGGATGGACCATCTAGGATGAACCCTCCAGTGTAGACCATCTGGGGTGGATCTTCTGGGATGGACCATCTAGGGTGGGTCGTCTGGGCTGGACCATTCAGGGTGGACGTTCTGGGATGGACCATTTAGGTTGGACCATCCAAGGTGGATCATCCGGGGTGGATCGTCTGGGGTGGACTGTCCAGGTGGACCATCCAGGGTGGATCATCTGGGGTGGACTGTTCAGAGTGGACTATCCAGGATGGACCATCTAGGGTAGACTGTCTAGGGTGGACCATTCAGAGTGAACCATCTGGGATGGACCATCCAGGGTGGGTCGTCTGGTGTGGACCATTTAGGGTGGAACATCTGGGGTTGACCCTCTGGGGTAGATCATTGGGGTGGACCCTCTGAGGTGGATTGTGTGGAGAAGACCATCTGGGGTAAATTGTCTGGGGTAGATCATCCAGGGTGGACTGTCTGGGGTGGACCATCTGGGGTAGACCGTCTGGGGCCTGCTGCAGCTTTCCCAGCTTAGGTCCCAAGCCCAGATGAGCAGGACCCTGCAGCCAGGCCCTTGTCCCTGTACTACCCACTCTGGAGCATCCCGGGCAAGCCCACCCCAGCTGAGTGTCTGTCTCCCTTTTGCAGGGTGAGGGGCAGCTTTTGCGAGCTCCACCTTTCCCTGCTCCAAGTCTAGGGAAATCTTTGTCAAGGTCTAGGGAGGCTCAAAATAGACCAGGGGCGGGAGAGTCGGCTGCTGTGAGTCAAGGCAGGAGAATGGGGGCTGCAGGTGGAACTTCCTTTTAAAGACAAATTGACAGAGTGACAGGGTAACGAGTGTATTGTTACCTGGAACTTTCCACAATGTGTTGGTGCACTTTCTGGGACACTCCCGGAAACCCCTCCTGGTGACGTTTTCATTCCAGGAGCCTGAAGGTGTCCTTAGTGGCATAGTGTGGGTGGTACGCCCAGGGTCTCTCCCCATCGCTCCCCCTCCCCCGCCACATCCAGAGCCCCAAGCTGGGGCCCATGGTCTATGGAATGCCACCTCTTTTGTGGTCCTGTCCCCAGCACACACAGGCAATGCACCTGCTTGGGCCCAGGGAGTGGGGAGAGGGCAGGGGTGTAGGCCATGCCCAGCCAGGCAGGGATGAGCCCAGGGCTGTGGGTACAGGGCCCGGGGCCCCTGCAGAGCAGGCAGTGGTGCCAGTGATGTGGTGAGGTTCCCTGCCCTGGGGCAGAGGCAACAGTTGCTCAGACAGCATCTCATCAGTTTCTGCAGTTTCCACAGCTGGGCTTTCGGGAGACCCAGGAGGCGCTGGAAGTGACCACCCAGGTTCCCAGACCATAGACTAGCCAGGCCAGGGAGCGGACAGGGTCTCTGCCCCCAAGTTCCCCCCACTCCTGCACCCCAGCCCAGCCCTGGGTGAATGTCTAATGGCAACATGCCAGATGGGTACCCCAGAAGCCAGTGCCCAGGTCAGGTTAGCTCCCCTGGTGCCCATGTCACTGGCACACCCTGAGGTGGGGTCTCCACTGGGCCTGCTCCTGCCAACCCCGGACCCCTAGCCCCTGCCACCTGGGAGTATGGACAAATCCAGGCAGCAGAGCCCCTCGCACGACCTCCTGATGCCCCTCCTACCTGGTCAGCCTCAGGGATAAGCCGGGAGGTTGCTTCAGAGAACAGGGCCTGGGGGAGGAAGGGTAGGCACTGCCCTAGGAAGCACCGTGGGCTCCCACTCAGGGCCGTGGCCAGAAGAAGCTGTCAGCTGGTGTCTCCAGGACACACCGTCTGCGGCGTCTGACCCCCTTGGCCCCCACCCGCTGGCAGCCTGCACACGCTCGGGGGACAGGCATGGCTCCTGTGCCGCCTTCTTGCATGTTAGAGCTTGAGGTCTCCCTAGGGCGTCCAGGAGTCCTGACCCGGCTCAGAGCCTGCCAGGGAGGGGTCAGGGAGTCTGGAGAGGCCCAGGATGCCTGGGGGGGCGGCACAGGGATGCCTGCTGGTGGAGGGCAAACAAGGATGCCTGTCAGGGGCACTGTGATGTGGGTTGGGGGGGCAGTACAGGGATGCCCACTGAGGGGACACAGTGATGTCTGACCAGCAGAGAGCAGGGGTCTCCTCCTACCTTCCATCCTCCCCGCCTTCCATCCTCCCCGCCTTCCATCCTCCCCGCCTTCCATCCAACGGTCCTCCCAACCTCTTCCCAGGGGAGGTCCTCCTCACCTCACCTTCGCACCCCCCCAGCTGCACTGCCCACCTCCCCTGCTCCACCCGCACTCAGGCCCTGGTGCATTGCAGGATGGACAATGGGGAGGCCTGCTTCATTCTCAGCAGCAGGAACGAGGTGGACCGCACGGCCGCGGTGAGTGAGGCTGAGGCCCTGCCCAGGCGGGAAGGACACCGTGGGGCTGGGGAGCGGGGGTCCGCGAGGGAGGAGACCTGCCCCAGGCTGCTGGTGCCGCCCAGCAACCCACAGAGGCCAGCCCGTCTGCACTGACCAACCACTCACCCCGCCAGGACCACCAGACCATCCTGCGTGCCTGGGCCGTGAAGGACTTCGCCCCCAACTGCCCCCTCTACGTCCAGATCCTCAAACCTGAAAACAAGTTTCACGTCAAGTTTGCCGGTGCGTCTGGGGCAGGGCGGGTGCGCACACGGGTGACGGTGCGTCTGGGACAGTTGTGCGTGTGCGCGAGCGGGTGACAGTGCATCTGGGGTAGGTGTGTGTGTGCGCACGGGTGCCGGCGCGTGTGGGGCAGGGCACAAGTGCGCGCGGGTGATGGCGCCTCTGGGGCAGGGCGCATGTGCGCGCGTGGGTGAACTGTACAGGGGGAGCGGGAGGGGCCGGCCCTGGAGCTCCACACACAAGGACACCAGGAGGTGCTGGAGGGGACGGCGGACCCCCATCCTCACCGCATCTGAGAAGGGACCTAGGGGTTCCGACCTCTTCAGATGAACAGTCTTACGCTGGGGACCTGGGGTCAGTGAAGGCAGGGTCAGAGGTCAGGTGGGGGCAGGAGCACCATCTGATGAGCACCTCTGTGGGCAGGGACCATGCTGGGTGCCCAGGGGACAGGGGCCAGGCCCCATGCCAGGTGCACGGGGGACGGGGTCAGGGCCCACATGGAGTGCCCAGAGCACAGGGGCCAGGGACTGCCCAGCCCTGGAGCTCCTCACTGAGCTGGGAGAGAAGCATAGGAACGATGGAAGGTCCATGGAGGCTCAGACCAAGGAGGGGGTTGGGGTCCAGAGACTCTGGGGGTGGTGATGCTGGAGCTGGACAGCAGGGGGTCCAGGGGGACACCAGGCGAGGGTGCGTCTGCACAGCACCTTCAGGAAGCGAGCAGGTGCTGTGGGGAAGGAGAGAGCCGGCAGGGCAGCAGGTGGACCAGCCTACCCCACTGCCCGCAGACCACGTGGTATGTGAGGAGGAGTGCAAGTATGCCATGCTGGCGCTGAACTGCATCTGCCCGGCCACCTCCACCCTCATCACCCTGCTGGTGCACACGTCCCGCGGCCAGTGAGTGCCCCGTGCCCCGCGGGACCGACCTCCGTGGCCCGGCCGGCACAGGGAGACAAGGCAGGGCCTGCGTGGGGGCGGGGACGGGCTTCCCGGAGGAGGGGCGTGTGGTGGGCAAAAGTCCTGCACAGGGAGGGGGTCCATGCCAGGGGAAGCGGAGGGGCCACCTGCAGACCCGGCCGGGCAGGAGGGGCAGCCACAGCTGAGGGTGACGCTCCCCTGGCCCCGCTCTGGCCCACAGGGAGGGACAGGAGTCCCCGGAGCAGTGGCAGCGCATGTACGGACGCTGCTCAGGCAATGAGGTGTACCACATCCGCATGGGTGACAGCAAGTTCTTCCGCGAGTACGAGGGCAAGAGCTTCACCTACGCGGCCTTCCACGCCCACAAGAAGTAAGGCCGGGCCGCGGCCATAGGGCTGGCACTCCGGGGCTGCTCCGTGCCCTCCGCGCCCACCCGGTCAGGCACAGGAGTGGCCCTGGGGCGGGGCTGCACAGGGCTCGGGGGCAGGACATCAGGGCATCCTGCCTGGCGAGGGCAGCCGCAGGACTGGGCTCCAGGTCCACGTAAAAACCTGCTGCGCGGCTCCTCCCTGAGGCTCATGGGCTGACACCAGCTCTCTGGTCCCCAACACCTCTGGGACGGGAGGGCTCGGCCAAGGTCCCTGACCCCAGATGGTCCCCGGGAGGAAGACGCGGAGCTCCAGTGGGGACTCTGGTGATTCGCAGGAAGGGCAGGCGGGGCAGGACGGGGTGGGCGAGCAGCGGGGCCTGAAGTGCTGGTGCCCCCGCCCAGGTACGGCGTGTGCCTCATCGGGCTGAAGCGAGAGGACAACAAGAGCATCCTGCTAAACCCGGGGCCCCGGCACATCCTGGCTGCCTCGGACACCTGCTTCTACATCAACATCACCAAGGAGGAGAACTCAGCCTTCATCTTCAAGCAGGAGGAGAAGCGGAAGAAGAGGGCCTTCTCGGGGCAGGGGCTGCACGAGGGTCCAGCCCGCCTGCCTGTGCACAGCATCATCGCCTCCATGGGTGAGCCGGGGCAGGCGCGCGGGACTCCCTGGGGCTGCTCCTCTGGTGAGAGACCAGGCGGGACAGGGCAGGTGACCAGGTGGGACAGGTGCGGGAGACCCGGTGGGACGGGGCAGGTGACCAGGCAGGGCGGGAGACCAAGCGGGACAGGGCGGGAGACCAGGCCAGTGTGGCCTCCAGACCCAGCTCCTCTTGGCCTGTGCCTCCAACTTTGGATAAGTGGTGTCTCTCTGGGCCTGTTTTTGAATCTGTCAAACAGGGGTGTCCCCACCTTCCTGTGGCCACCTTTGTGGGCATTGCTCACTGTGTCCAAGTGGAGTGGCCCACAGGACCGGTTGGCAGCTCAACTGGAGGCTCCTGGTGGTCCCATCAGCTCAGAGGGTCTGCTTCACATGTGGCCCTCAAACAGTCGGGGACCCTGACGTCCAATGGGGTCAGGAGTTGGCGGGATGAGGTCGTGGTGGCCGAGGGCTTTGGCCTCTCATCGCGCCCTCAGGGATCCTCCCGGGGTGCCGCGTGCCGCCTCTGAGCAGGTGCAGGCCCGTGGCCCCGAAGGCAGCACCTATAATGCTGTTGCCGCCCCCCAGCCAGGCCTTCCTAGGGGACAGTTAGGGAGCAGGGCCAGGCCAGGAAGCCACTCAGGCCACAGACCCACGGCCGGGCCAGGGCATTGTTGCCTCCGTACAGTGGCCCAGGCAGAGGCTGACCCTATGGGGCACCCCTGCACGCCCACCCTGGGGGTTGTTACACGGTGGCTGCTGGGGCACCAGGTGGTTCAGTGCAGTGGGGTACAGTCTCCAAGACCCAGAGGGCCCTGGGGTTTGGAGACGTGCTGATGCAGAGCCTGCCACCTGCCAGACCCCGCAGGTTGCTGGCCCCCGTCTACGGCAGCTCACTCGGGGGGCCGGGCCTGGCCACAGGGCACTGGGGAGGCAGGCTGCTGCTGCCTAGCCACACCTCCACCTTTACCTGCACGGTGGGCACTCTGCCCCCAGGTGGCTTCCAGGAAACCAGGGTGACTCGGGCAACCCTCACTGCACCCACAGAGGCCCTGGGCCATACCTGGAGGTCCACAACCCCCACCTGGCAGCCTGGGGGTGGTGCAGGAGTGACAGAGTCTGCTCCCGCAGGCACCGAGTGACCCGGCTGCTCCCCACCTGGCCCTGTCCGCCAGGCAGCCTGACCAGCTGCCCGGGCCCCCAAGGCTGGGACCCCGACCCTAGGATCAGCCAACCCCCTCCTCAGGCAGCTGGTACTGAGGCCACAGCAGCTGGCCTGGGTGGTATCGATGGGGCACTGAGGTCCCCTGGGTCTTCGCTCAACATCACCACCCCAGAGGCCGCTGTTCCCATTGTATGGAGGAGGAAACTGAGGGATAGATTGACGCTCACCAGCTGGAGCGCAGGAGCCAGCCCGTGACAGGGTCTCCAGAGATGACTGTGTTTGCCTGAGCTCTGGGAACTCGCCGCCCCTGGAGGGTGGGAGTCGGGCTGCAGCCAAGCACAGGGCTCTCTTCCAGGGACGGTGGCCATGGACCTGCAGGGCACGGAGCACCGGCCCACGCAAAGCAGTGGGGGGGGCGGGGGCAACAAGCTGGCACTGCCCACAGAGAACGGCTCGGGCAGCCGGCGGCCCAGCATCGCGCCCGTCCTGGAGCTGGCCGACAGCTCGGCCCTGCTGCCCTGCGACCTGCTGAGCGACCAATCAGAGGACGAGGTGACGCCGTCGGACGACGAGGGGCTCTCGGTGGTAGAGTGAGTGCTGCCTTGGAGATGGCTCCCGGGGGGGGGGAGGAGCCGCCGGGAGTGCGGGGGAGGGGAGCGTCGGAGCCGCCTCGGTGGTCCCCCGTGCTCTGAACTGCAGCTTCCGGACAGCTTCGTGGAAGTCCTTGTTTGACAAATGGGACCTTCAGGGGACGTGACACAGACATCAGAGCCACAGCACTCTTGTCCCCAGGGAGCACTTAGAGTGTCACTGAGATGGGGGTGTGCTGGGCTACACCCTTCCCAGTTGGGGCTGGGGGTGCAGAGCTAACTGGGGTGAGGCAGCGCTCACTGGGGCAGGGGCTGTGTGTCAGGCACCGGGTAGCACCATCCTCAGAGAGGGGCCCGTTCCCACCCACCTCACCAGCCAGCCCCACAGTGGTCCGGTCACTCTCTGAATCAGGATGGAGCCGGGCAGTGACCACAGGCCATCTCATCCACCCAGTACCCTAGGTCTCCCCCTGAGCACCACAGAGCACAGAGGGGCACAGCCCGCCTGACCAAGGGTGGGTATCCTCTGAGCAGGGTCCCTGTGCGACCCCTGGGCAAGGCAGCATCCCAGCCTGGAAACCACGGCCCATCCTGAGCTGTCGTCCTGGCCTAGCTTTGGAGCCAAGTCCTCCGGCTACAAATTGTAAGACAGGAGGCCCCACTCTGTTCTCAGCAGCTTCTGCCTCTTGGCCTCAGCCAGGACAGACAAGTGCCCCAACAGCAGGGCCCAAAGGCCCGTCCTCAGCGGGGCTGCCTCACTCTGCCGTGGCCTTCGCCTCTGGGGTTGGGTCAACGCACTGTAATGACAGCCCGTCATTTCCCAGCTGCGGGGAAACAGCCCTGAACCATCGCGTGTGTGTGTTGGGTGCTGCTGAGGACGGGTGGTGGCTGACTGGGGACAACAGCCAGGCTGGAAAAGTGTGTGGATATGAGCCCAAGGCCAGAGTGCCTGCCCCACCAGCCTGGGGTGCTGGGGACGTCAGGGAGGCGTGGCAGGCGGGCAGAGCCCTGTGGGTTTGGCCTGTGGCTGCAAAGCCTCATCTAAGCTGTGGTGGGGGGAGAAAGACCACGCAGGGCATGGGGGTGGATGTGTGGGGGGGGGTGTGTTCTGTGTGTCCATGTATGTGTGGTGTATGTTGTGTGTGTCCATATGTGTATGTGTGTGGTGTGTCAATGTGTGTTGTCGGTGTGTGGTGTGTCCGTGTGTGTGTGGTGTGTGTTGTGTCTGTGTGTGTGATGTATGGTGTGTTGTGTGTGTCCACGTGTGGTGTGTGTTGTGTCTGTTGTGTGGGTGGTATGAGTTGCGTATTTGTGTGTGTGGTGTGTGTGTGGTGTGTTGTGTGTGGTGTGTGTGTTGTCTGTGTGTTGTGTGTCCGTGTGTGGTGCATGTTGTGTGTGTGTGTGGTGTGTTGTGTATGTTGTGTGTCTGTGTATGTTGTGTGTGGGTTGTGTGTGTGGTGTGTGTTGTGCCTGTTGTGTGTTGTGTCTGTGTGTCCGTGTGTGGTGCATGTTGTGTCTGTGTGTGGTGTGTGTGGTGTATGTTGTGTGTGTGTTGTGTGTGCTGTGTGTTTGGTGTGTGTATGTTGTGTGTTGTGTCTATGTGTGTCTGTGGTGCATGTTGTGTCTGTGTGTGGTGTGTGTGTGTCCGTGTGTTGTCTGTCCATGTGTGGTGCATGTTGTGTCTGTGTGTGGTGTGTGTGTTGTGTGTGTATGTTGTGTGTTGTGTCTGTGTGTGTCTGTGGTGCATGTTGTGTCTGTGGTGTGTGTGTGTGTGTCCGTGTGTCTGTGTGTTGTGTCTGTGTGTCCATGTGTGGTGCATGTGTGTGTGTGGTGTGTGTGTTGTGTATGTTGTGTGTCCGTGTGTGTGGTGTGTGTCTGGGTGTGTTGTGTGTGTCTGTGGTGCATGTTGTGTGTGTCTGTGGTGCATGTTGTGTGTGTGGTGTGTATGTTGTGTCCGTGCACATGGTGCGCATGTGCATACATCAGCATGTGTTCATTTCTGTGTGTATGTGTTGTGTGTACGTCCTGGTGTGTCCATTTCCGTGTGCCTGTATGTGGCCATGTGTTGTGTGCATGTGTCTGGATGTGTCCATCTCCATGTGTGCACATGTGTGAACGTCTCCACTGTGCATGTGTGTTGGGTGGAGTCTCACCCCAGACCCTCAGGGAAGGGTGGGCCCAGGGTACAGCCTGCCTGGTCCCACCCCAGAGTAGCTGAGGGCTGACCATGCGGGTTCCTGAGCTGACTAGGTGAGGGGCGAGCCCCACAGCCACCCCCTCCCACACCTGGGTGAGGGCAGCAGCAGTGAGGGCCCTACCCACCCGGCAGTCTCCTCCAGTCCCCTCCAGTCCCCCAAGGCCCCGGTAGGGCCAAGTCCATACCTCCCCAGCCCTGGCCTTGCAGCCGCTGCTGACCCGTCAGGCAGGCACGAATCCTTAAGGTTTGGCACCTGTGTGGGTGCCCTGGGCACTGCCCTGACTGCCCTGCAGGACACACGGGGTCCTGGGTGCCAAGGCTGGGCAGGCCCCACGACGTGGTGATCACAGGCTCAGCTGGAGGAACGTTTGCTGATGCACAGGTGGTTGAGGGAAGAACAGGCCACCTTGGGCCAGCTGTGCGTGACCCCGAGCAACGTGGCTGTGGGGGGAGTGGGTGCCCTCGAGTCCCCCAGCCCGGGGGAGGGGCCAGAGCAGACTCAGCCACCTGTGTGCAGCTGTGCTGAGGGCTTCTGTCTCCTGCCCCAGGTACGTGAAGGGCTACCCTCCCAACTCGCCCTACATCGGCAGCTCCCCAACCCTGTGCCACCTCCTGCCTGTGAAGGCCCCCTTCTGCTGCCTGCGGCTGGACAAGGTAAGGCTGGCGGCTCTGCCGCACTCTGCGCCCCCAGACGCCAGCACCGGGCCAGGCACACCTGCCCTGGTTTCTCTTTGATCACTTTACGTTTCGATGTCATTGCAAACTTCTAGCAAAGCTGCAAGAATACTACAAGGGAGAGCCGCGGACCCTTCACCCAGATTCAGCAGACGTTCCCTTCCCGTCCCGTGTGGGCTCTCCCTCTCCCAGTTTCTATGTTAGAAGCCCATGTTTTCTGAACCATTTTGAGAACAGGTTGGAGCCACCACACCCCTTTCCCCTAATACATCCACATGCCTTCCCAAAGATGAAGAACCATCTTGTAACCACAGCTCATTAGGACAGGGACCCTGGCCCGGCATGAGTGTCTGATCCACTGTCCGGGTTCAGATTGCGCCGAGGGCCCCGACAGCCTTCAGTATCCTGCGTGACAGTGTATTCCCCGCTGGGAGCCTGTCCTGGCTGCGTCTTAGCACTCCTTTCTCATTACTCTCCGTTAATCTGGAATGTTCCCTGGGGTCTCTTGACCTTAATATTTTTGCAGAGCCGGGGACCAGTGACTTGGTGGCAGGTGGGTCTGCCGATGTTTCTTGGTGGTGGGACTCTGCCTGCGTGTGGGGCCAGCCCTCCCTGGAAACTCGGGGGTCAATTGTCAGGTCACTGGCGATGTTAACTTGGATCTGGTGGCAAACTGGGGTCAGCAGGTTTCCCCACTGTGAAAATCACTGTTTTCCTTCTGGAGTTAGAGCTTCTCTGTGGGGGACGTGTTGAGATCAGGAAAGCAAACCACTGGACCAAGTGGCTTCAGCATCCATCAGTGGGTTCTTTTTTGTTTATTTGTTGTTTGGTTTTTTTTTTTTTTTTTTTTGAGACTGAGTCTCGCTCTGTCGCCCAGGCTGGAGTGCTGTGGCCGGATCTCGGTTCACTGCAAACTCCGCCTCCCGGGTTCCCGCCATTCTCCTGCCTCAGCCTCCCAAGTAGCTGGGACTACAGGCGCCGCCACCTCGCCCGGCTAGTTTTTTGTATTTTTTAGTAGAGACGGGGTTTCACCGTGTTAGCCAGGATGGTCTCGATCTCCTGACCTCGTGATCCGCCCGTCTCGGCCTCCCAAAGTGCTGGGATTACAGGCTTGAGCCACCGCGCCCGGCCTGTTTGTTTTTTTTTTTGAGACAGGGTCCCACTCTGTCATCCAGGCTGGAGTGCAGTGGTGGGATCATAGCTCACTACAGCCTCCACCTCCCAGGCTCAAGGGGTCCTCCCACCTCAGCCTCCTGAGTGGCTGGGACCACAGGCACGCCCCACCACACCTGGCTAATTTTATTTTTATTTTTGTAGCGATGGGGTCTCCCTATGTTGCCCAGGCTAGTCTCGAACTCCTGGACTCAAGTGATCCTCCGATCTTGGCCTCCCAAAGTGCTGGGGTTACAGGCATGAGCCACCACGCTGGCCATCAGTGGATGGTTTCCAGTTCCGGAATCTCTCCAGCTGTGTGTTAGGGCTCAGCCACAAAGGAGACCTGCTCTTCCCCGTGTGTGTCCTTCACGGACCACGGGCTCCCAGTGTGTTCTGTGGGTTGTAATCTGTGGCTGGTCATTGCAGCAGCAGCATCCTTGACAGATCACTATTGATTCTGATGCTCAGACCCCCTGGGTTCGCTGGGTGGGGTGGGGGCCTTCAAGTGGCTTCTAGGTGCTTCTGGCACAACCCCCTCACCCTTTGAGCTCATCTGTGCTTTCCAACCGGAGAGGTTCCAGCCACATCTTGGCCTTCCCCTGCTCCAGTCTGGAATGAACCACTTCTCCAAGGAAGCCTGATTCCTTTTAGTGGAAAATGATGATTGGAAACCAAGATCTGGGCATGTGGCGTGCTCACGGCTGCTGGCGTCCCTGCTCTGAGCCTTGTGGTGGACAAAACAAGAAAAAGTGTGTGCACACACAGGACACGTACCTGTGCTCATGCCTAGATCTCCAGCCACGTGCCAAAACCACATGTTCACATGGACACCGCCCTTTCCACCTCTGACATGGCTCTGCTCTGTGCCGCCTGTGGGCACAGCTGTAGCATCTGGTGGTGCCTGTAGCTCCCACCAGGTGCATGTAGGCCATGAAAGGGCCGTGGGCCGAGAGGCTGACGGCTGGGTGTTCAGGGGGGTTGTTTGGTGAGGGGTCTGGGAGGGCTCCAGTGGCCAGCAGGAGCCAGCCCTGATTCCAGCATCTGCCCCCAGGGCTGCAAGCACAACAGCTATGAAGATGCCAAGGCCTACGGGTTCAAGAACAAGCTGATCATCGTCTCGGCAGAGACGGCCGGCAACGGGCTGTACAACTTCATCGTGCCGCTGCGGGCCTACTACCGATCCCGCAAGGAGTTAAACCCCATTGTGCTGCTGCTGGACAACAAGTGAGGCTCCTGGGGCTCTGCCCACCCCGCCCACCCCGGCCTCAGACCTGCAGCCAGCAGCCTCCCCGACTGGGCCCACCCTTCACCTTTGAAGAGGGCACGGGAACATGGGGCCTCTGGCCTGGTCCTCTCAGCTTTCCCAAAAAGGGGGGCTCTCCTCCCTGCTCCCAACTCCTCCTGCTCCCAGCTCCTCCCCACTCCCACTCCTGCTCTCAGCTCCTCTGACTCCTAGCTCCTCTGGCTCCCAGCTCTTCCCCACTCCCAACTCCTCCTCACTCCCAGCTCCTCTGGCTCCCAGCTCCTCCCCACTCCCAGCTCCTCTAGCTCCCAGCTCCTCT